CCCCAGGACTCCTCGGCCGTGTGGCACACACCCGTGGGCAGGATCCACCACGATGGCCCGGGGCTTCGAGTCTTGCTCCTTGAACAGCGTCTTCCTCTTCGTGCCCTTGGTGTCAGCCACCGAGACGCTGCCCAGGACGGAGTCGGTCCAGTAGATGTGGCCGTGGACCCAGTCGACGGCCAGCCCGTCGGGGGCCTGCAGGTCCCCGCTGATGACCGTGTCGTAGGAGGAGAGGCTGTGGGCTCCGTCGATCTGGGTGCTGAGGGAGGGATGGGAGTGGGCGTCAGGCCGGGACTTGGGGGCGTTGGCCATCTCCCCGGGTGCCGGGCAGGCCAGGGCCAGGCCTCACCTGTAGATCTTCCGCTGAGACAGGTCGGACCAGTAGATCCTGTTACTGGCCACCTCCGTGTCCAGGGCCACCACGTTCTTCAGGTTGGGGATGAGGCTGGTGTACTCACTCCGGTCCAGCGTCATCTTCCTCACCTCGTGACGGTTGGTGAAGAGGAGGTAGGCAATGGTTCCTGAGAGCCAAGGAGGGCGGTCAGCGGGGCCAAACGCCCCTGGGGCTGAGCCCCCCCCACCATCTGTGCTTGTCACCCCAAAAAATACAGTGGAGCACCTCTACGCACCCCCACATTTTACATTTTGGAATCAGCCTCATTGCCAGGCCGGCCCAGCCCTCCAGGTGGTCATCTCCTCACTCTATATGGTTCTCACGGCCAAGGTGAGATGAGGAAACCCCCAGGGCCTGTCTGCTTCCTCCCGGGCCGAGCCCAGCCCCGGCCCTGCTCCCCAAGGCCCTGCACTCACCGACGGCCTTACAGGTCTTGGTGTGGGGGTCCATCTGGAAGCCCGTCCGGCACTCGCATTTATAGCTGCCTTCGAGGTTCACACAGATCTGACTGCAGGTATCGGGGTTCTGACACTCATCGATATCTGTAAGTGGAGACCCAGAGAATGACTGACTGGCTGCAGTGACCAGACCAGCTGTCAGATGTGGGGGGTGGGGGGACGACCTGTCCAGGCAGGCGTCTCAGTGACCGTCAGCCTCGAGTCAGGCCACGTGTGGCCTCGGTAATAATAATAATAATAATGTGCCCTCACGAAGGAGAAGCCGTAGCAGCTGCAATTTCATTGTTAATCCTGGAAGGTGAGGCTGCTGTGAGCAACCGGGTTGCTCTGCTGGGCAGCCCCGTGTCCACTGGGGGAGCCGTCGGAGAGGCTGTCATTGTTGGTGGTACCCGCGAGGTGACCACCACTCAAAGCGACCCTCAAGAAACAGACCAGAGAGCCCTGCCCTATCCTGTGCCGTTGTCCCCGCCTCCGCCCTGCTCAAGCCGGCTGTGGCGGCCACTGTGTCAACCCCACCTTTTTCCTTACTATGAGAAAGGACCCTCGCTTTACAGAGTAGGTGGCCAGCCTGCTGTGTGGGTACCCCGCGTCGGAACCACCCCGCCAGGACTCACCTTCACATCTTCTCTGGCCCACCAGCCGGAAGCCCTCGGGGCAGAGACACTGGTAGCCGATCTTGAGGTCGTCGCAGATGTGGGAGCAGCCCCCCTTGTTGTCCAGACACTCGTTGGTGGCTGAGGTGGGAGGGATGGGGGACACGTGGTCACAATGGAGGGTTCCGGCCCTCCCCTCCCCTTCCCACCATTTTGTCATTCCAAAAGCTTATCCCAATCAGAGCCTTGGGTGGTGGCTGTTAAGCAAGAGACAGGTAGGTCAAGTGTCCTGGGGAAAAGGCCTGGCTGTCTAATGCGTCAAAACCCAGACACTGACACGATGGCCCTTATCACCCTTCCAACCTGGAGCAAACTTCCTGCGCCTCAAATAGTCAACTCATTGCTGTCGAGTGAGATGAACTCACAACTGAGACCCTCGGCAGGAGTCACCTGAGAGGGGGCTGCCCCTCTTCCCCCTCAGAGCCCCCAGAGGATTCCAACCACCAGAGAAGCTCAAGCTTTTGGCTTAGTGCACACACCCCCTAAGGACTACGGGTCACCAGAGGACCCAGGCTGAATAACAGACCCAGAGCTGGGCAGTGACATCAGGAGATTCATCCTAACCAGCCACGTTAGGGCAAAAGGACAGCACCTGCCCAAGGGTGACGCCCTGACGACCAGAAGGGGTAGGACAAGAAGGACCAGTGGAAATGAGGATCACAGGTAGGAAGTGGGGTAAATGGCAATTACATCGTGGGCATTGTAATTAATACTATAAAACAAAATGTGTGCGTGAATAGTTGGACAAAATAACAATGTGCTTTGTAATCTTTCACTCACAGCACGGTAAAAAAGTTTTTTTGGAAAAGCTAAAATCTTGGTTGTTGAAAACCCCACAGACCCACCCAGGGTCCCCCCACCGGGAGTTTCATGGACACTTGCACCCCGGCTCACCGCACTCCTTGAGGGGCTCGTCCGACCAGTCCCGGCAGTCCCTGACTGAGTTGCATACTTTGTCCAATGAGATGCATTCACCACTGTGGCACTTGAACTTGTCAGGTCCCTCACACAGCGACACTGTAAGAGCAGAGAAAGGAGGTCATGGGCTTGTGAGTGCGGGAGGCCACTTAGAAGGCATTACTCGAATTCACCCCTCCAAGAACAGATAGAAACATACCCACCAATAAAACCCCAACAGCCAAATTCCCCAAGCCTCCACGGCCACCTAGCCCAAGCACAAGATGCTACCTAAAGGGGGCTTCAGCTTAGGGGCCGGATCGGTTCATTTAAATAAAGTTTTATTCAAACACAGACTGAAGGAGTTCTGAAAACGCAGTCTCATCACAGAAAAGGCTGACACAGATCTGACACAGACCACGATGGCTGTCTTTGCCTGTCCCATCCTGCAGCCATCCTGCCTGACCTGTTGTTGCTGTCGAGTCAAAACTGACCTACAGCTGACCCTCCCGCTTGATTCAGACCGTGGTCTTTTCAATCATGTGCTATGCTGCTGAGAGCTGGAGAATGAATAATAAGAGTGACAGAAGAAAAAATCATGCCCTCGAAATGTGGCGTTGGAGAAAAGTACTGAATATCTAAGTCTGTCAAAAGAACAAACTGGGCGAGCTCTGGTGGCCTAGTGGCAAGAAGCTGCACTGCAATCCCAGAGGTGCACGGTTCGAATCCACCAGATGCTCTGCCGGGGAAGGAGGGACAATCTCCTCCTGTGCCAGTCAGATCTGATTTGACGGTGCACACACACAAAAGGAATAATAATAAAGACTTTTTTTTTTTAAAAAAAAAAAGAACAACATGAGTCCACAATTAAGGTTGCATAATGGAGCGTACTTGGGGTGGTGGGAGGGGTGCGGGGGCATTGTATATCAACGAAAGAATTTTTCTTTTACTTTTCAAAGAGAGGAGGGAACTGGGGTGGGGGGGCAGAAGGGAGGGCTGGGCAGGGAGAAAAGTGCAACAATGAATGAATGGAAATACAAAATCTCTGTAAATGTTCATTAAAATTATTATAAATAAATACATAAATAAATAAATAAATGGACAAACTGGTATGTCTCAAGTGACCACAGCGATGGGCTTAAATGTGTCAGAAATTTGTAAGTTTGGCACAAGACTGGACAGGGTTCAGATCTGTTGTTCATAGGGTCTCAATGAGTTGTGCCTGACCCGTCAGAAGAAGGCACTTAACAACAAAAACAAATATCACGAGATGAGATTGTCCCTCCTCCTGCAGAGCAGCTGGTGGATTTGAAATGCATGCCTTTGGGATTGCAGCGCAGCCTCTTAGCACTAGGCCACTAGAGCTCCCCGCAAAGGCCCCTAAGGGAATGATAAACGTGACGTGGGCTCACCAGTTCCCAGTCCTGGCAAACGTGTGCTCAGGAGCTGGTGTTAGTTGAGTTTGCTTGTTTCTGAGCTTTTTTTTTTAATTTTTATTGTATTATTTTTACGTGTACCATCAAATCAGATCTGACTGGTACAGGAGGAGATTGCCCCCTCCTTCTCCAGCAGAGCATCTGGTGGATTTGAACCGCATACCTCTGGGATTGCAGTGCAGCGTCTTGCCAATAGGCCACCAGAGATCCCTTAGCTTTTTTTCTTTTTACTTTTTTAAAATTTTCCTTTTTTTTAAATTAATTTAAATGAAAGTTTAGAGAGACTTAGGGTTTCCAGACATTCATTTCTACACTTTTCTCCCTGTCCCCCAATTCACTCTTCTCCTTGAAAAGAAAAAAAGAAAACCTCTTTAATTGTTATGTAATCCCTCCCCCCAGGTCCACTCCACTATGCAGCCTCCACTCTGGATTTTTGTAATTACAAGAATACCCATTCATATGTCCCTTTAAAACAATTTTCTCCCTCATCAGTTTCAATGCAATATACATCATTCCTCCCCTCCTTTTGTCTTCCCTCAACCCTGATGTCAGTCCTGTTTTACAACAGTGGTCCTATGCAATATTTGTCCTTTTATGACTGAGATATTTCACTCAGCATAATGTCCTCCAGAGTCACCCATTTTGCATAACATTGCATGAGTTCCTTGTTTTTTAATGCAGCGTAGCAATCCACTGTGTGAATATAGCAGAGCTTCTCTATCCATTCGTTTGTTGATGGGCACTTTGGTTGTTGTTTCCAGCTCTTTGCTATTGCAAACAAAGCCGCAATAAACATGGGTGTGCATGCTTGTTTCTGAGCTTTATCAAATGACTACACCTCGCTGCCTTCTGTGACTGACCTTTCCTCTCAGCTCCAAGGCTGGGAGGTCCCTGTTGCTGTTGTCCCACTTTCTCTGCTGTCTGACTGACTACACAGAGGTCACCCTAGAGTGCAGAACTTCTGTGCTGCTTCCGGTTGTGCTATGAGGACGGTGCAACGGGGGTCACCCCGGGCCATGTCTCCTGGTGCATGAAACAGCTTCTCCAGAGCAAGTTCCCAGACCTGGAGCTGCTCACACTCAGGAAGCGACGCTACCAACATCAGGTGACACCTGCAGCTGTGAGCGCTGTGCTGGCCTCGTTCAACCTCCCCGTCTTCAGGCAGGTGCTTTTACTAAGCACATACCTTCTGAGACACGGGGGGACCAGATGACTCGAGCCCACGTCTGCATTCACTGGCAAACTCCTCCCTGATGCCCCTCAGACGCCCACAGACTCCCTCACACACAGCAAGGCCCGGCCTGGGAGCCCCTCCCGCAGCGCTTACCATTGACACAGCCGAGCTCGTCGCTCATGTCCTCACAGTCAAATTCCTTGTTACACTGCAGGCTGCCATGGATGCAGGTCCCGTCCCCGCATTGGAACTCGTCAGGCCGGCAGGTGGCCACAGCTGCAAAAGGTGAGGACGAGGCTTACTCTCGAGGGAGAAGCCAAAAGGGAACAGCCGCCTCCCTCTGAAGGGGCCATCACCCGACACCGTGCAGACTGGGGGCTTCTGAGCCAAGAAGAAAACACAGCTGCATCGAAGAGCAGAAGGAAATAGCTTATGCTCAAGTGTCCAGAAAGAAGGGCCCTGGGAGGAACAGGTACAGAGGTGCCCTTCTGCCAACCACCCGGCTGCATCCTAGCTGTCAACCAGGGCAGAGTTCAGAACATTTATTTTTTAATTTTTTTTTTTAAATTTTATTAGTGTGTGTGTCCCATCAAATTGGAGCTGACTGGTACAGGAGGAGGTTGCCCCTCCTTCTCCGGCAGAGCATCTGGTGGATTCGAACTGCATATCTCTGGGATTGCAGTGCAGCTTCTTGCCACTAGGCCACCAGAGCTCCCCTAGAACATTTATTTCAAAGTACAATAGTATTTTGTTCCTCATTGAAAAAGAATCAGGAACAAAGTACTATATTAAAGTGACAGAGAATAGGGAGGCCACAAGGAAAATAGTCACCCCCAATCCTGACTCCCTAACACAGTCACTAAGGTTTCCTTAGATCCCCCCCACTCCCCAAGTCCTTCAGAATGTGCCATTCCTGAAAATGCTGCCGGCCCACCAGGCGGCGGTCGGCCGAAGTCAGGCTGCCCAGACGCAGGGCTAGATGTACAGAGGACAACTACACCTTAAGTTTTCAAGGCTGTGGCTGTCGGACCACCAGGCCTGCCTTCTGTGAGGCCTCTGAGCAGATGTGAACCACGAACCCCTTGGCCTGCAGTCAAGCGCTTAACTACATAATTGTTGGAAGCCATGGAGTCCGCCCCACAGCGACACTGTACAAACGGACCCCGTACCAGCCCCGCATGCCCACTGTCCTTGAGTCCTCCGTCACAGTCCCCGTGTCAGTCCATCCCACTGAGGGGTTCCTTCCTTTCATTGACGCTCTATTTTTCCAAGCATAATGTCCTTTTTTTCAAAGACTAATTCTCTCCTGATAACACACCCACAGGATGTGAGACAAACTCTCACCGTCCTCGCCTCGCCAGAGCACCCTGGTTGTGGGAGGGGACAAAGTGTTGGGCTGCTAAATCAAAAGGTCAGTGGTTCGAATCCACCAGCTTCTCCTTGGGAGAAAGATGAGGTGGGTTTCACTCCCACTAAAATTCATAGCTTCAAAAACCCACAGGAGGGTTGCTGTAAATCAGGACTGGCAGTGTGTTGACTAACACATGCCCACCCACCCAAGGAGGCGGGAGGATGCAGTGACCACAGAGCAGCCATGGGCAGGATGGCGCACGGGGCCACCACAGCCAGGACACCTTCTTTATCTGCACCATCTCCAACTCGGGAGCCATTAACCAAGTGCCCACTACATTGATTGAAACAAAATTTAAAATGTCCTTGTCTGATAGCTACATGGGAACAGATGTATTGGGTGCTGTGCTGCACGGGGCAGATAGACCCCCCATCATCCCAGAACCTTCGCTCAGGCAGGGACTCTCCCCCATTCTGTCGAGGGTGAGGGAGACTAGCACACAGTGAGGCTGAGCCTTGAGCCAAGGGTCACTCTAAGCTGACTGTCCATCCTGCGCCCAGGCCCCAGGACCTGCCTGCACTAACACTGAAGCATATTATCAGAAGAGAGTGTCTGGGCGTTAAACACAGCCTGCCCGAGGGGTGGCTGTCTCCGTCCTGTGAGCAGGAAGGCGGGAATGTCGGTGACGGAGCTGTCCCTCTGCGTGCAGCACTGTTCCCCACCCTGGGAGCCGGGCGTACCGCAGCCCTCCTCGTCCGACTTGTCCTTGCAGTCAGGGCTGCCGTCACAGTGCCAGCTGCCATGGATGCACTCGCCACTGCGGCAGTGGAACTCCAGGGAGGAGCAGGGGCTGTCGACGCGAGTCGGGCACTGCCACTCGTCGGAGCCGTCCACGCAGTCGGTGTCCCCGTCGCAGGCCCACAGCTCGGGGATGCAGCCGGTGGCATTGCACTGGTAGTGGCCGGGGCCGCAGGTGGGCTCGGGGCAGCCGTCCTCGTCGGAGCCATCCAGGCAGTCACGGTCCCCGTCGCAGACGAAATTCGCGGAGACACACTTCCCGTCCTGGCAGCGGAATTCGTAATGCAAGCAGGTCCTGAGGCCTGGGGTGTATGGGGGGGGGAAGGAGAAAGATCCCAGTCACCCCAGAGCTCCAGACAACAGCCCCTTGTGCAAAGGGGGAAATTGCCAAGGTAAGGCCAGTCCCCAAACAGCACGAAGGAGGGACATGCAGGGCTAGGGCGCTGGACTCAGCCCACTGCATGAGCACCCCTGGGAAGTCACCGACCCCCTCTGCATGTCCATTTCCTCATCACCTCTGCCCTGGGCACCCCTGGGAAGTCACTGACCCCCTCTGCATGTCCACATCCTTATCACCTG